TTTGTATGAGAGCCCAATAAGCATACTAACTGAACATCAGAATTAGGGTTACCTACCAGGCACAGGCTGTCCTGGAGCAGACAATCTGCCCTGATTCTTCCCGCTCAGAAGTGAGGCTCTGTTTAGAAAACAGAAGCAGAGGAGGATACCAGGCTCCTTCCTAGAGGGAGAAGGGCAGGGCTGAGCCAAGCATGCCCACTAATTCCATCCCTACCAATTAGATGCATCAGTAAATCACTGCGCCTCTCCAGGGCAGACAGAGTAAAGGGACAGAAAGGGCCGTAGTTAAAATAATTGAGCTTTGCCTACAGAAAGAAAACCTTAGGCATGAGGAAGAACTGTTCTCTATCAACAATATTGATTACTGACTTTTTTTAAAGTAAAATGCAATTTTATAGACACTTGGTTTACTAACACGATATAACCAAAATTTAGAAAGTTGTGATTGTAGTTGCCAACTGTATTTTTTAGATTTTAATTTGTCTTGTCTTTTAAACATTATAAAATATTACATGATTGTCATACAAATTGTAGGTCTAAAAAAGGAATAAAAATATATTTATACACATAAATGGATAATATTAAACATTGTTCTGCCATTTTTTCCACTTAGTGATATATATGGATTGCTGCTTTGCTCATCAAGCTGTATTACTAGATTATATTAATCTATGCTGATATGTATATAATATTTATGCATAACTTATTTATAATGATATAAAATAATGTATCAATACATATTAATGTTCATTGATATGTCCCATTTATTTCTAATGCTATATAGTATTTTTGGTAGAATATAATTTATTTCCTTTACATATTGCCAGAAACTTGGATTGTTTCCAATTCCTATCCTTTTTAAAATTTTATTATATAAGTCACTTAATAATCTCTGAATTGTTGATGTCAAACCTTTTGCTAGAACTTTTTGACTTTCTTTCTTTAGAGTCTATACAAACTTGCCAATGAAGAAGCAAAAAAGAAAGGCTACGACTTGCGAAGTGACGCCATCCCCATCGTGGCTGCCAAGGCCTCCAGGGACATTATCAGTGACGTAAGTAGCAACATCCTTGATAGTTACCTGGATGGATGAAGTGAAGAGGGAGGATCATTACTATTATAACATTTTGGGGCCAGTGTAAGCACATTTATTGACTTATTTTTCTAAATCAAATAAATGTTTTTCATCTGAAAAAACTTAGATTTTAAGCTTCATAAGACTTTAGTATCTAAGTCTTAGGGAGGAAGAGGGTGACCTAAACCAGTATACTTCAATTCAGTATAAAATTGGATGTGATTCTACATTTTTTCATACCTATAATTATGAGAAATTTCATCTCCATATTTTGAGCATGGAGCATTACAGAAAATCGAAAATGGCAGAAGAGGTGTTAAAAAATAACTTATTTTTTTTAACATGTATTTGTTCAACCTCAGAAAAAGAGCTGATAGAACCAAGTGTAGGAAAATCCACCTTTCCCCAAATCTGCTCTGTGTTTTTGCCAGCTCATTTTTTTTTTTTTTTGGAAAATTATCTTAAGTGCTTTGTTTTGAGTTCTTTTAAAATGAAAACAGAAAGACAAAGATGAGGAAAACAACAAAATGGTGAACATAATTTCTCTTCCTGCCATCTCTGAAAGAAGTGGGTTATTTGGTGGAGAATTCAGACTTTTTTTTTTTAAGATGGAGTCTCAGAGTCCCACTCTTGTCGCCCAAGCTGGAGTGCAATGGCATGATCTTGGGTCACTACAACCTCCATCTCCCTGCTTCAAGTGATTCTCCTGCCTCAGCTTCCTAAATAGCGGGGATTATAGGCACCTGCTACCATACTTGGCTAATTTTTGTATTTTTAGTAGAGACAGGGTTTCACCATGTTAGCCAACTGGTTTCAAACTCCTGACCTCAGGTGATCTGCCTGCCTTGGCCTCCCAAAGTGCTGGGATTACAGGCATGAGCCACTGTGCCCAGCTGAAAATTCAGACTTCTGTAAATATTTGCGTGGTGCGGTATCTGAAATAGAAAATATCCAGTTACCCCTTACCACCACCAACAACAAAATGCTTTTTTTGTAGACATACATTCCATTTTCTCACTTGAGGAATCCCAAACAAACCTCAGTCAAATTTGATCTCCAACAGAGCAGTGCTGGTAGGATGGAAACATAATCTAGGCCACTTCAGAGAGTCAGTGCCCCAGTGAAAGTCAGCAAAGTCAGATTTGGGAAGGAGTGTGGGTATGTTGGATGGTGGTGGCGGGTTAAATGACTATCTGTGGACTCAGGAACAGCAGTCTCAAAATCATATGTAAGAGTTTTGGGTTGGGCCGGGCGCGGTGGCTCAAGCCTGTAACCCCAGCACTTTGGGAGGCCGAGGGGGGTGGATCACGAGGTCAAGAGATCAGACCATCCTGGTCAACATGGTGAAACCCCGTCTCTACTAAAAGTACAAAAAATTAGCTGGGCATGGTGGTGCGTGCCTGTGATCCCAGCTACTCAGGAGGCTGAGGCAGGAGAATTGCCTGAACCCAGGAGGCGGAGGTTGCGGTGAGCCGAGATCGCGCCATTGCACTCCAGCCTGGGTAACAAGAGCGAAACTCCGTCTCAAAAAAAAAAAAAAAAAAAAGAGTTTTGGGTTAGTGACTTCATGGGCCCAAGATGAAGAAACAGCAGTACACAGTACCAAATGATCTTCTGGAAAGTGTAGCTTCCTTTATTTTGAAAGACTTAACATCTACAAGCCAAAAGACCATGTAGTTTGGCTTACCTTCCCACTGGACTATTCCTATGAGACTGTTGCTGTTAGGCTATTTATGAGACTTCCATTAGATTACTGCCCATTAGATTAGTGCTGTAAAGTCTAATCGGGATTTAGGATGGGGAGATAAACTGATCATCAGATTCTTTCATTTCTCTGCAAGAATTAGCAATTTTAAAATAATAAAGTTTTAAATTAATGAGACTTCTAAGCCTTTCTATTCATATTTATTTTTGAAATGACCACCTTTATTTTAGTACAAATACAAAGATGGTTACCGCAAGCAACTCGGCCACCACATTGGAGCCCGGAACATTAAAGATGACCCCAAGATGATGTGGTCCATGCACGTGGCCAAGATCCAGAGTGACAGGGAGTACAAGAAGGACTTTGAGAAGTGGAAAACCAAGTTCAGCAGCCCAGTGGACATGCTGGGGGTGGTGCTGGCCAAGAAGTGCCAGACCTTAGTCAGCGACGTGGACTACAAGAACTTCCTGCACGAGTGGACGTGCCTGCCCGACCAGAATGATGTCATCCACGCCCGGCAGGCCTATGACCTCCAGAGCGATGTGAGTACTTAAGATCCATGGTAACTGTGTTCATGATAGTAATTCATAGAAATACTAAGACAGTGGTCTAGGATTAGATAGAACTCTCAGAAGGGATGACAGTCTTCTCTCTGCTCATTTTTTAGGCACCTCTTCCTTTTTTTTTTTTTTTGGAGAGAAAGAAAGAAATATGATGAGACTATATTCAATTCAGCCTTCTTGTATTGAAGGACATATACATGAAATTTGACTACCCAAGCTTTTCTAGTGTTAATTTTTTATTTTTGAAATCATGTTATAACAACTTCAGTAATACTTGCTTTTGTGTTTAATCTATCCAGAACATTTACAAATCTGATCTCCAGTGGCTGAAAGGCATTGGCTGGGTCCCCATTGGGTCTGTGGATGTAGTCAAGTGCAAGAGAGCTGCAGAAATACTCAGTGATCACATCTACCGCCAGCCTCCGGACAAGCTGAAATTTACCAGCATCACTGATTCTCTAGAGCAGGTGTTGGCCAAGAACAATGCTCTCAACATGAACAAGGTGAGCACCCAATTTGTGGGTAAATAAGTCAGGGCTGTGTGTCATTTAAGATACCTATTGTTAATTAAGTTAGTCTCTTTTGTTTAATCCAGTTAAATTGCTATTCAATGTAGAGTGATTCAGTTGCGTATTCTGTTAGATAACAATACATGGGAGCATTTCTGCTTTGACATCTCTTGTGAAATAGTCAGAGTTAAGAATAGGACACCTATTTTGGGTTCAAATTGTTTGAAGTCTGTAAGAGTTAATGGTTTGGTATGAAGGTTTCTTTCTTGCTGAATACATATTTAGGTAAGCACAGAACAAACAAGAAAGAGGCAAGCCGGCCATGGTGGCTCTCACCTGTAATCTCAACAATTTTGGGAGGCTGAGGTGGCAGATCACTTGGGCTCAGAAGTTGGAGATTAGCCTGGACAGCATGTTGAAACCCTGCCTCCAAAAAATATAAAAATTAGCTGAGTGTGGTGATGTGCACCTGTATCCTAGTTACTTGGGAGGCTGAGGTGGGAGGATCACCTGTGCCTGGAGAGGTTGAGGCTGAAGTGAGCCATGGTTGTGCTACTGCATTCCAGCATGGGCAACAGAGTGAAACTTTGTCTCATTAAAAAAAAAAAAAGAAAGATGCAAATCTTCATAATATTTATCAAAAAGAAATCTAGAGATAGCATATCTAGGTATATTTGTACTTAATTAACCAACAAAAGAACACATCAAAGAAATAAAATTGTGGGAAGGATTTGTTAATATAGCCATAGTACAAATATGGATGTGAATATATGCTTGGAAAATACTTGCTTTTAATTTAATTGGGGTGAGGGGTTACCAAACACAAGTGTGTTTGATTTTATATATATATATATATATATATATATATGCCACATATATATTTTCCATTTCATATCTTAGTATACATTTATATTTTGTTACAATAAGTATATTGTAAAATCAAAGAGGTTGAAAAGAATGTTAACATACAGCACGTGCACAGACAGCAAGAAAGCTGCCTCTCAATTTTGTCATGATTTTTTAATTGAAAACTCATGTTTACAACAAACTGTTTTTCTAATTCATTAAGCTTTTTATCCTTCACAGCGCTTATACACAGAAGCCTGGGACAAAGACAAGACCCAAGTCCATATTATGCCTGATACACCTGAAATCATGTTGGCAAGACAAAATAAAATAAATTATAGTGAGGTAAGATTGTTTTATTTCTTTGGTCTGGCCACATTGATTTTTGCTGATGTAAAAATGTCAGAATTATGGATTTAATCCTCATGTAAGCCAGGTGGTTTAGTTGGCTTTTTATGCCATTTACCCTATCTTGATTATACATATCATTGTATTAAAGAATAGGTAGATAGAAAGGTAGATAGATCAGAGAGAGAGAGAGAGAAAGAGAGAGAGGTAGACAGACACAAAAGTATCTTCATTTTAGGAGGGGAAAATATCTTAAGTCGACTATTAATGACTAAAACATAATTGTAATTGAAAATAATTCTTGCTATTAATCAATGTAGTACTTGCTTCAAAATTTGTTTGGCAAGTTTCTTTTCTTCAGTTACCTCATCTGTAAAGTAGGATTAAAATGCCTATCCTAAAGAATTTTTAAATAATGACTAAATGAGATAAAATATTTAACATGTCCAGTGTGGAACCTGGTGCAAAATGTTTGTTTAATAAACTTTAATGTCTCTTCTTTACACTCAACTCACCATGAAAATTAGGTGTATTTAATATGCACGAAATAATTTGAGCTTTATTTACAAGAACTGAAATGAGAATGCTTAAATTCACCCATTTCACACGGCCTGAGAACAATAAAATACATTATTTTATGAACTATCTCCAGCCTTGCTAAACTTGTCATTGCATATCTTTGCAGTCCAGAAATACTGCTGCATAAATAGCATTTTGCTCAATTGTTCTTGCCAAAGTCAAGAATTTATATGGTTGATTCAAGAAGACTACTAATTTTTTAAACATGTTTATGTGACTTCATTTTCTTTTAGAAAGAAAAGCAGAGTTTTCTTCAGTTTGACAGCACTAGAAAATTTACTGATTTTAAAGATGACCAAATTTATTATTTTACTCATATTAATTACTTCTGCTTATAATAATGAAGCCTTAAAGAGGAGGCATGCTTAGATCAAATAATCACGACCAGTAAAATGAAAAGGATATGATTTCGCTTTCTCCAGCATTATGAAACAGACCAACTGACAAGCGTGATTATAAATATTTGATTGGCCTTGGCTTCAGTCACTTTTGAATAGGCCATTTTCTCTTGGCCACAGAGCTTCTCAGTTGGGTTATCTTCTCTGCAGATGAAGTTAATTTCTATTCCAGATTGTAAAGAAGCTCTTAAGCCTCTCTCATTTGTTTACATTAGAGGAATTTAAGTAGATTTTTTTTTCAGACTGCTGCAAGGAAATTGGGCTATTTTTTAATTCTAAAATTTTCAGCTGGATTTACTTTCTTTAAAATTGCATGATGGTGCATTGAAGGCTCTGACTTCACCACAGGGCAATGTATTAATGTAGCAAAATCACATTCATGTCCCATGAATACACACAAATAAATAAAATTGAATGATCATGTTGATTCCCTGAGGAATCTACGATTAGATTTCAGAATAGCCCACATGAATTTCTTCTCAACCCATTGCCTGTGGTACCTTCATTCCATAAATGTAAAAGTAAGCAAATCCATCCATTTTTTCCTCTTAAGTTCTCATTTACCTATTCTAGTTTTCTTAAGTAACAAGCTTTAAAATATATCCTTGATGATAGCTAAAAGTGTGCTCTCCTTCGAAGCACTGCATCTTTTTTAAATGTTGAAAGAATTAAAGAACTCTATTTTTGGCCTGAAGCCATGAGATGATTGAAGTACATTTTTCCCCACTTCTACCATTTTTTAAAACAAGGGCATTTATTCTTAAAGAAAAAAAATAATTGAAATATTTGACCTTCCACTTTCAAAAGAAACATTCCTAGAAATTTTGAAGTAAAACAAATTCCCTCTGGAATTTATCTCAGAGATATTACATTGATTCTTTAGCCTTTTCTTGTAAAATCTCATCTTGAAAAGACTATAAACTGACACATCTTAATAATCTACTTATTAAACACAGTAATGACCCTGTGACTTAAGTCATAAAAATATTTTTTAAAAAATTAAATGCCTCTGTAACATATTTAAAATCCAGATACTAGTCCAGTATTCTTAATTCAATCTAATTTGAGAATGGGGCGTAAAAATTAAGTTTTAATTATTTGTGCCACACTTTTTAGGGATTTTCCTTACGTTTAAGATTTTGTCTTTACACAGCCTCGGCAATGAAAAGTACACTGAACAGTAGAGGGATGATAAAGCCTTGTAGTTTTTCCCTTAAAACCATACATTGTTTCTAAGTTCTTTTCCAGAGCTGTCTACTGGTGTTGTGTCTGCTTTATCTAACTCAATAAACCTCATAAAAGAGGAAAGGGAGAAAGCGAATTGAAAGATTATTCAATCGTAGATTGATCTCAAGGCTGTATTTGGATATAGATGAGCTGCTTTCACACCTCAGCTACCACCCTTGAGGTTACACAGAGGCCTTCCAAGGGGTAATCTGGCATGGATCGTTTTACACAAATCAGTTAACATAGCTTCAACTTCCATAGACACACTCTTCTAAATTATCTGCCCAAGAATGCCCCTACAGTTTGAGTGGCATCCCACTTGCTTCATAGTCACTCTCATCTATGTTAAAGCAAAAAAGCCATGGTTTGAAGATGAAGAAAGAAACTAGAGAACTAAATGCTACTCATTCTCTTGAATTGAATTTTGGATAGGAAAGCAACATTGCTATAAAGGGAATTATTGGGACAACTGATGAAATTTGAATATTGACTGTATATTTGATAATAAAAGAGAATAGAACTAGACAATAATACTGTATCAAAGTTAAATTTCCTGAGTCTGATACATATATTGTGGTTACATAAAATATCTTTATTCTTAGGAGACACATGATAAAGTAATCAAGGATGAAGGCCATGTTGTATACAGTTTTCTCTTAATCAGTTCAACAATTGAAAATAATAATAAGTAAAATGAAATACATACACACATAAAGAGAAAGAGATAGAGGATGTAAATATGGCAAAAATGTTAATAAGTTGGATAGTTGGAACTTGCAACTTTTCTGTAGGTTTGAAGTTTTGCAAAAGGTGGAAAGAATACATTTTAAAATATTAAGATGTACATTAAAATATTTAAGTATGATAATGTAAAGATTTCATTTTTAAAAGAAAAAAAGTTATACTTATCCTAGTAGTTACTGTGATGCATGTGGCTGGGTGCAGTGGCTCATGACTGAAATCCCAGCAATTTGGGAGGCTGAGGCAGGAGGATCACTTGAATTCAGGAGTTTGAGATCAGCCAGGCCAACATGGCAACCAACAGTCATCTCTACTAAAAATACAAAAATTAGCAGGGCGTGGTGGCATGCACCTGTAATCCCAGCTACTTGGGTGGCTGAGGCACAAGAATCACTTGAATCTGAGAGGCAGTGAACCAAGATTGTGCCACTGCACTCTACCCTGGGCAACAGAGTGAGACTCTCTCAATAAACAAACAAAATAACAACAACAGAAACCCCACAAAACTCTACTAGGAAACTTAATTCATTATTGCCCATCAAAACTTTTTCAATCAAGCCACCATGAGCTCCTACAAGTCATGTCTCATTAAGAGAGCCAATAAATTTTTATTTTTTATGTTTAAAAATTATCAAACTGTACATTTATTTTATTTTGATTTATTGAATACTGACATTTGCAGTTTTTTAACATTTTTGTTAAGAGGATAGAGAATCAGTCAAAATTTTCATCACTGCTTCACAAACAAAAAGGGCTAAAAACCATTGGTATAGATGATTTGGTTCTCAAATGACATTCCCATTGTAACATTCATGTTTTGTCTTCTGTGTACATCTGCCCTGCCACAGAAATTGAACAGTGGCAGTGCATTCTCAATTCACAGAAGAAGTTAATAAATAGAATTTTATCTGTTTTACAGTTTTGATTTCTAAATCTTTGATACCTGCTTTCCCTCATGTCTGCTAATAACTTTCAGCAATTGATGAAATAATAAAGAGGGAGCAAATCAACATTAACAGAATTCAGAAAGAGTGATACATCCTTAGTTCAGCACTAAATTTTACTATGGACACATCCTCCTAGTGGTAGTATTATTATATGTTATTATGTGATACTATTGTCTGCTAGTAAAAATGTTCCCAGTTCAAATTTGGAGTTAAATAAATGAACATTTCTTGGTTGTTGCATGAAAAGAGCAAGTAGTGAACAATCTAAACACACTAAGAGCTGTTCATTTAATGTATGAAATTTATAAGATTTGTGCAAAGAGAGATTGTGATGTCAAAACTTGCTGAATATGAAATTTTCATTTAAATAAATATCCAAGGATAAACAGAAAGCAAGAGTTCTTTTTCCGATTTAAGGCTGAATATACTAGTGTAGTTTTGCATCCAAAAGTGGTCTTTCTTTGACAAAAATGTATTTCTCCAGTGAATGTGAATTCTATATTTAAAAGCTACTTCTTCTTTCCTCAGAACCTCTATCGTCAGGCCATGGAAGAAGCCAAGAAAGAAGGCTATGACTTGAGAAGTGATGCCATTCCCATTGTGGCTGCCAAGGCCTCTCGGGATATTGCCAGTGATGTAAGAATTTATCAAGTCCTAACATTTCTTGGCATCAGGCCAGCCACACAGGGAATACAACTGGACATCTCTTTGGTCGTCATCCACCTTAAGTCCCTTCAGTGCATAGGCAATATATTGAGGCTTGAGATACAGATAATATGCCCAAGATCACAAGCACCACAGAAGCGTAGCCTAGACTGGAATGTGGCTCATTTGACTCTGTATTTTTGATCTTTGCTCAATAGGAGTGAGTGCCTCGATTAAAGTTGGATGTATGTATGCTGAGCTACTTACAGAATATCAGAAGCTCTCCTTGGAACACACTCAAGGCAAAAATGCCAGAAAAGAAGGAGGCTTAACTGAGTTTGCCCCATCGCTTGAAAAAGAACATAGGATAGCAAAAAAAATTAAAAGTTTTCTTGCCATGGGGTGCACAGAATGAGTATTTCTTTACCCTAAAAATGAAAACATATGCCTGGATATGCTAAAAATTAATCCAAGAGTAATAAAATTGTCCATTTTTATAGGTTTTAATAATTTTTAATTCTGATTAAATAGATATGTTATATAAAATTTACCATCTTAATCATTTTTAAGTATACTGTTTGGTAGGGCTCTGTTTGGTAGGTACTGTTTAGTAGGTATTCATATTGTTGTACAATGGATTTCCAGGATTTTCATTTTGTAAAACTGAAACTCTCCATCTATTAAATAACAGAATTTTTTTAATTTTTAAACTAACCCTCCCAAATCATTTATGAAGAGGAAATTATTTCTCAGACTATGCTAGAAAATTTTAATGATCCATGTAAACACACACCCCAGGTATGTTCTTAAGTAGACTCACTCACATGATGGATCTCTGAGACACTGTCATGGTTTATTACTGTAATTGGGTTCTTCATTTCAGTATTCACTTTTTGTCACTTTTTGCCAACATAGAATTCTCTAGCATATGTAAAACAACCATTGTGAAGTTATTCTGTGGGGATGTGCCAATAAACACAACAGTCCAATATGCAGCATCATGGCAGCATGACCAGTGAAACCCCTCTGTTGCCTTAAAGATTTCGTAGAAAGCACCACCACAGAAAGAACAACAGGGAATGGCCCTTTGTACCTCCTCCTTATTTACTGGATTCTCTCTTTCAGTACAAATACAAAGAAGCATATCGTAAACAGTTGGGTCACCACATTGGCGCCCGAGCAGTACATGATGACCCCAAGATAATGTGGTCCCTTCACATTGCCAAAGTGCAGAGTGACCGTGAGTACAAGAAAGAATTTGAGAAATACAAGACAAGGTACAGCAGCCCAGTGGACATGCTTGGTATCGTTTTGGCCAAGAAATGTCAGACCTTGGTCAGCGATGTGGACTATAAACATCCTCTTCATGAATGGATCTGCCTGCCTGACCAGAATGACATCATTCATGCACGGAAAGCTTATGACCTCCAGAGTGATGTGAGTTTTCTTGATATTAGCTCTGAGTATTAAAAGTGGGTCTGAAACATGTCTGCGGGTTCTGACTAGTGCCAATGAAGTGCAATTTGTTTGTATATTTCAAACAATTTACAATTAAGTGTCGGAAAGGACTTTTCCACTGGAGGTACTACAATTTGTCTTCTTCTCCAAAAGTTCTCTGTAGGAGAGGAAATAAGGTAAATATTATCAATTGTATACAGGTATAAGTCTTCCTAGGGATTCAGGCTTCCTTTGTCTGAATCAGATGAAATTTAACCCTTAAAGATACATCACTGCAAACTTTTGGCAAAGGAGGTAAAAAGTGTGGTGTGTGTTGGCAGAGGGTATAGTATGGAGATAGTAAGAGGGAAAGTATATTATGCTAAGTTATTTTAATTTATATTTTATACTTACTAATGGGAAAATTCTGTCATTCTTATGTTTTTAAAAACCAGTCCAGTCATCTAATACTTATTCATCATGTCCTACTGAGAGTAAAATAAAATGAATAATTAGGTAAATACCAAACATATCTCTGCAACATCACATTTCCTTTATACATTTGAAATTTTGTGATTTTTAAAGATGGAAATAACAGTGAGAATTTTTTGATTGCAGTACTCACACATCATCAGTCTGAGTATGTGGTTTTATTTGGAGCTATTAGAATATATTTTTCAAGGCTAAGAAAGCATGCTCCTGTGTAAAAATATTGTATTACTCTCATAGGCAGGACCATGTCTTTTACTTTTAAAAAAAAAACCATTCTTGGTGTACTCCTCTGTACCCAAAAAATGCTCAGGAAAAAAATACGCTTAGGATTTAATAATGTGTGTAGTGTTAGGATTCAATAATGTATGTAGTGAGTGACTGACTATGCTGGGAATCTCATCTATTCAGTACTTTTGTATTTCTCTAGGATAACCCATTTTGTAACTATGAATTTGAAACACTAATTAATAAAAGTGTTTCTTATCTGTTCATCTGCAGAATTTGTATAAGTCAGACCTTGAATGGATGAAAGGCATTGGCTGGGTTCCGATTGGTTCCTTAGAAGTTGTTAGGGCCAAGAGAGCTGCAGAAATACTTAGTGATAATATCTACCGTCAGCATCCAGACACAATGAAATTTACCAGTATAACGGACACTCCGGAGCAGGTGCTGGCAAAAAACAATGCTATAAACATGAATAAGGTAAGTCTTCAATCCCCACTGTTAGATACCGAAAGTTACCATAGAACATTGTAAAAATTCTGATGCATTATTGCATTTTAAAGATTATAATAAGAATCATGATACCTGTTAAAATGATTTTTCCCACTATAATGCCATAGTTACTTAGTGATGCCTCAAAGTGTTAAACCAATGTTAAACGTACTGTGTGCTTCTGATTGGAACAGTAGGTTGTTAAAAAAAAAAAAAACTGTGTGCTATAACTCTTTCCTAGAAATTATTTTAAATACTTCAATTCTATTATACTTTTCATAACTGACAAGTCCTTTAACAGTTAAAGTATTAGATTCTTGAAAGAATTTTAATAAGAAACAAAGGTAAGGAATTCATGCAGCTTTAATAATTTTATTTCTACCTTGAATACAAGAGAGATGACTGGCACATAATCAAAAGAATAAAGTCTGTGAACACTAAAATATTTTTTCTTATTTTTTTATGTAGCGCTTATATACTGAAGCCTGGGACAATGACAAGAAAACTATTCATGTCATGCCTGATACACCAGAAATCATGTTAGCCAAACTCAACCGAATAAACTACAGTGATGTGAGTAAACTGTTGATCTTGGAATGAACAGAAAGGAGAAAATGAACTATTGTAGGTGTTTTCTTAGGAAAATGTTTTGACTAATTTATTACACATACTCCAAACTACCATTTTCAGTAGAAGAAATAGTTCTTGCTTGATTCAATTTTAAGCTTTGTGGTGGGTCCACAAAGTAGGCTACCACTTTATTAACAGATTCTCAGGAACTGAATGATTACAAATAAATATTCCCATAGGAATTATGCTTTTAAAGCCCCCCCCTACAGGTCAGTGTGGATAGCAAGTCATTATTTTTTTTCAGCAGCTAGTGAGTAGGCAAGGAGTGGGTTGGAATCTGGTGAGTTAGTAAGCCACATATTATTTTGCTGCTTCAGTAGGCTCTGAGAATCATTTGATGTTAACTTGCAAACATTTTTCTAGGCATCTCTGCCCAAGCTAACATTTTCATAAGGGGAATTATCCTGAAATCCCAGTCCACAAATGGATCATTGTCTAATAGTCCACAGCAAAATAAGAAAAAATAAGCATAAGGCATTGTTTTTCATAAAACTAAATTACATTTTAAAATATTGTCCTTCTTTAGTATTAAGATGGCCTGTCTTTTATATTATGATGACAATAATAAATAGTGTTTTGCTTTGTTCTGTTTTTGTTTTGTTTTGTTTGAGACATAGTTTCACTCTGTCACCCAGACTAGAATGTAGTGGCACAATTTTGGCTCACTGCAACCTCTGCCTCCTAGGTTCAAGCAATTCTCCTGCCTCAGCCACCTGAGTAGCTGGGATTACAGGTGCATACCACCATGCCCAGCTAATTTTTGTATTTTTAGTGGAGACAGGGTTTCACCATGTTAGCCAGGCTAGTCTCTTCTCAAACTCATGACCTCAAGTGATCTCCCCACCTCGGCCTCCCAAAGGGCTGGGATTACAAGTGTGAGCCACCACGCCTGGCCAATAAGTAATTTTTTTTTACATCTGTTTGTTTGGCAAATAAAATTTTGTCAACCAAATGTTGATTTTTTCCCCACATTTTTTGTTGAAATTTACAAGTCAATAAAAATCCCAAAGTTTAGAACATGTGCCTTAAAAATCCTTAAGCACCCATGAGACAAAACTATCTATAAACCCACCCTAATGCTTGACCTTGTGATTTATGTCTGTAGTTTAAATGAGGACAGAGAAAATACAATAATAAGCAGATTCATTTTTTATGGAAGAAGTAATGAATAATTACTTTCTTTTCTACAGAAACTCTATAAACTTGCTTTGGAAGAGTCCAGAAAGGAAGGCTATGACTTGCGTCTGGATGCCATTCCAATCCAAGCAGCCAAGGCTTCAAGAGATATTGCTAGCGATGTAAGCAGATGTTTTTGGAAAAGACACTTCTTACTCAAAGATGTTGACAAAAGCTTTTAGTTTTTCTTGCCAGAAATTTAGTTACCCCTACAAGTCTCAATTCCCTTTAGTGATTTTCCCGTATACAGAATTGTAAATGGAAAAAAGAAAAGCACAAAATTCTGGACCCGATATACCTGTCAGTCAATCAAAAATAGAGACATACTATTTTTAAAAGAGTTTTTTATGGACACCAAAAATGGGTTCATATTTTTGAGCCTCCGAAATTGGATACTCTGTCTCCAAAAAGAAAAAAAATAGGAAATTGAGCAGCAGTTGACCTAGATGTTTGTGAAATTAAAGGGATTAATTTAATCCCTTTCAATAATATGTGGGAAACAGCCAATATACATGTAAATTCTTCCATACTACTTCTATCTATTCTGGCATTAAAAGAAAACTAGATGGGTATGTTTTAGAGATTTGTTTTGTCCTTTGTAACTCCTAGTGAGATGTCCCTCACTAGACACAAGAACAGATTGTGAAGTAAGCAAGGCTTTTTCTCAGCACCCACTTTCCTCTTCTCTACTCCTTTTCTTCACATGCGAAACACTCCCTAAGGGTGCCTAGTGTCCTCATTCTGCAACAAGCCTACTTAGGACTCAAATCCAGACATTCCCTCCTCTGGAAGGGCCTCATGCCTTACACATATGCATCATTCCTTCTGTAAACCAAAAACTATGAGATAGATCTCAATCAGTTTAGAAGTTCATTTTGCCAAGGGTAAGGATACACGCCCTATTATCAAAACTTTTCTTGCTGTTAAGCGGGAGAAGCCCACACCATAATTGTTTCATGGTGAAATGGACCATAATGTGTTATCCTTGAACCTTAAAGGTAGATAAACTGACTCACAGCGAAAGCTCAGTGATGTTGACAGGCTAATAAGGGGGCCATTTTCTGGTGCCACATAAACTCCATCTAAATGTAACACATATCCTTGACTGAGATGTCTAGTATAAGTTCTAATAAGGGAAATATTCTAAAATATTCTTAATGTCAAACAGTTTTGGGAAAACAACCATGTCTTTAAGTAGATGCTCCATTAGATTGTATAATATATTTACCTCTACTTGTTAAGGAATCAAATGTAAACTAAGTAATGTAGTATAATGAGGAGGAAAAATATTAAGAATGAGAAGCTCTTCATTCTAGGCTCATGCTGCCACCTGCTTGTGGTGTGACTGTACATATCACTAAACCCCTGCTAGGTTCAGATTTTGACTTTTAAAAATAGGGTTGATGGTATTCACCTTTCCCCTTTGCGTTAGTGATCGGGAAAAGCAAAAGAAGCAATGTGTGTGTGAACCTATGAAACGTGAGTATATAAGATGTTCTTGTCATTAGACTCATATCCCTTTTCTTTTTTTAGTACAAGTACAAGGAAGGCTACCGCAAACAGCTCGGCCACCACATTGGAGCCCGGAACATTAAGGATGACCCCAAGATGATGTGGTCCATCCATGCGGCCAAGATCCAGAGTGACAGGGAGTACAAGAAAGACTTTGAGAAGTGGAAGACTAAGTTCAGCAGCCCAGTGGACATGCTGGGGGTGGTGCTGGCCAAGAAGTGCCAGATCCTTGTAAGCGACATAGACTACAAGCACCCCCTGCATGAATGGACCTGCCTGCCTGATCAGAACGATGTCATTCAAGCTCGGAAGGCCTATGACCTGCAGAGTGATGTGAGTGGCTCTAACAATCTTCAGTCAAGGTTTAGAAAAGCATTCTAACTCTTTTGTGCCATAGAATCTTTCCACAGTCTGGTGAAACCTACAGACAACTCTTTAGGATAATGTTCTGAAATGCACAAAATAAAATATGTATTTCATTTCAAACAAAACCAATCATATTGAAATATCATTATCAAAGTATTAAACCAAACCTGTAATGTACTTTTTATTAATACATTAAGTAAAAAGTTCTAGCAGTGACTGTAATAACTAATTTCAAAGAAGTAATGAGCATAAATATTTCAAGACATCAGCAACAGCTCTTTATTAGTCTGTTCTCACATTGCTATAAAGAACTATGTGAGACTGGGTAATTTATGAAGAAAAGAGGTTTAATTGACTCACGGTTCCGTGGGATGTTCCAGAAGCATGGCTGGGGAGGCCTCAGAAAACTTATAATCATGGTAGAAGGTGAAGGGGAAGCAGGCACATCTTCACATGGCTGAGCAGGAGAGAGAGAGCAAAGGGGGATGTGCTACACACTTTTAAACACCCAGATCTCATGAGAACTCACTATCACAAGAACAGCAAGGGGGAAGTCCCCCATGATCCAGTCACCTCCCACCAGGCCCCTCATCCAACATTGAGGTTTACAATTCAACTTGAGATCTGGATGAAGATGCAGAACCAAACTGTATCAAACTATAATAGGACATAAAAAGATTTGAGATTTCTATAGCTGACAAAGTCAGGTGTAGTAGCAATACTACTGTAATCTATTGCTTATAATGATTGAAATGCTATGTTTCAGTTACAGGTTAATGAAAATGAGGATGTTATATATTTTTTCTATCCAAGTTCACTGATGCCAGGTTAAGAATTCCTGTTTTAAACAACCTAATTTTCCAAATGAATCGATTGCATTATAATTATGTGTCTATTTAACTCATAGGACATATCTATTATAACTTTTGAATGGAAATTTAAAAATGAATTATACATATTGAGACAATTTTTCTAAGAAACTTGAAAATAGTAACTCTACAAATAATATTTAACATTATTTCATTTTCAGGCTATTTACAAATCTGATCTTGAGTGGCTGAGAGGCATCGGATGGGTTCCCATTGGCTCTGTAGAGGTCGAGAACGTGAAGAGGGCTGGAGAAATTCTGAGTGAAAGGAAGTACCGCCAGCCTGCAGACCAGCTCAAATTCACATGCATTACAGACACTCCGGAAATTGTCCTCGCAAAGAATAATGCCCTGACCATGAGCAAGGTGAGTCTCCAGCTGTTTCCTGTTGCCAGAAACATACCTTCCACAGATTTGGTTCATAAAGTAGGAAATTTTCTAAGGGTCCCCTGAGAAAGGAGATGTCTTAAGGCCTGTTTCTCATGTAGGCCTTTAACAGAGAATCTGCTTGAATTCAAGGGGACCCTGTTTGCTCTTCTCAACACCCTGCCCCCTAATTCTCCATGTGCATGTGGGAACAGAGCCTGGGATGATTTCCCTGGAGTGATGCACTCACCCTTCTGAGCAGTGACCTGGAGACATCACAAATACATTACCTTTCCTTGCACATTCTCCTAGGCAGAGCAGACTCAGGCCATTGATGTGTCTTTAGCCATCTGGTAAGGAATATAAGCCATTGACATTTCATTCTGAGTGCTGTGAAACACATACTGTTTCATAGCAGTGCTGGTATACATTAAAATTGGTTGCTGGGTTTGCTTCTCCACATTAGGTTATGGAAATACACTTTTGAAAGCTAGCTACTATTTCTGCTTTCAGTTTTATTACACAAGATAGATGATCATTTGTTTCCTCCAAAGTTCTATCAGTCTATTTATTTTTATCCATGAGTCAGCCCTTAGTATGCATATTTTAGATTGACTTGAACTTGAATTCTCCCACACCTGCCTGGAAGCCTTCCAGTCATTAGGCTAGTGCAACTGAGTGCTCAGTGCAGAATATGAAAGTGACTTCAGACAGCAAACTCCAGAGTTTGGGGTATACGACTCTAGAAACTCTTTTATACCACATCCATCAACAGCAACCACAATGATAACAGCAATAGGAATCACCATAAAAATCGCTGAGTATCTGCTATGACTTGGCTATGTTATATATGTTATGGGTCATCTTCAAAAAATACACAATACAAAAGAATGATTATCCCCCTCTCAGAAAGGAGGAATGTGAGGAGTATCTCTGATACCTTTCTCAAGATCATACAGCTTGGAAATAGTAGAGTTGGGTTTGCATTTGGGTTGGACTCTGAAGTCTAGGGATGTCTACTGTCTCATGGTTCTATAACTGAGCTCCATCTCTGGAGGTCTGAATAAGCTTGTGATTCACTGGATGAGAAGAATTAATAATAGCCACCATTATATTGCATCATATTAATTATGAAACCATTATACAGCTATTTAAATATTGTTATGTTTTATTTTCCCTATGACCTTTTTGCTTCCCTCACATCCCAAAAGCATTAGAAGGGGCTATTTTATAGTTATATGTGAGTTAAATTTGTTAACGACTGTAATGATGTGATTGGCTTTAACAAAAACTCTTACTCTCCCTCTCCCCCACCCCACCCCACCCTGCCCTGTAGCATTTATACACAGAAGCTTGGGATGCTGACAAAGCCTCCATCCATGTGATGCCAGACACCCCAGAAATCCTGCTGGCCAAGAGCAATTCTGCCAATATCAGCCAAGTAAGAGATTTCCTAATCATTGCTTAAACGTTTCTAAGAATAATTAAAGTGCTTTTTCCACCTTAACAATTTCATTTCTGGAATTGGCCTATTGCCTTCCTCGAACATTTTTATTTTCTGTCATCTATTATCTCTTCCCTAGAAACTTTACACCAAGGGATGGGATGAATCAAAGATGAAGGACTATGATCTGAGAGCGGATGCTATTTCCATCAAAAGTGCCAAGGCCTCCAGGGACATTGCCAGTGACGTGAGTGCCTTCCATCTAACTCCCTGTGGCGTCCACCAAGCTGAACAACCCAGAGGGCTGCTGGCGGACCACACTCTATAGTGATTGCCACATGTACCTTCCAGTCCTACCTTCTACCTCCCAAGACCTTTCCCTTTGTTGTTACAGAGAATAAAAACACATTTTGGCATTAGAGTTACTGCAGGGAAAGTTTCCACCAATGAAGATATATGATTACATTATAATTATTTTTATAATGATATAAAACCTCACTTTTAAAAATAATAGTTCAGAGATGCCAAAATATTTGTAATATAAAATTCTTGTCCATATCATGTCACCTCAATTGTCAGCATGAGCATGGTTTTAAAACAGGATGTCTACACTTGTATTTCTGGCATTTTAGTACAAATACAAGGAAGCCTATGAGAAACAGAAAGGCCACCACATTGGAGCCCAGTGCATTGAAGATGATCCCAAGATTATGTGTGCCATACATGCAGGAAAAATTCAAAGTGAAAGGGAGTACAAGAAGGAATTCCAGAAGTGGAAGACCAAGTTCTCTAGCCCCGTGGACATGCTGGGCATCTTGCTGGCCAAGAAATGTCAGACGCTGGTCAGTGACATTGATTACCGCAATTACCTGCATTACTGGACATGCATGCCTGATCAAAACGACATTATCCAAGCAAAGAAAGCCTATGACCTGCAGAGTGATGTACGTAAAATGAATTTTGGGAAAAGGGGAAGGGGAAGACGTAGATTTGTTAATTGTCCTGTCAGTGCCGCTGTGGACAAGCCCCTGGGCTGTGTACTGCACAAACCTGGGGGCAGGGGTGGGGGGTACCATTTACATTGTTTAATATAAAATCCATCTTTAGTAGTTATGTTGTGAGATGCAAAAATAGAGATGACATGAGGTCATCTCTATTAGTGAGGTCATGTCCTTTATTCCCCAGCCTAGTTTAGCCTTTTTTGTTTCCATGTCATTTGTAGCTTCTAGCAATGAAAATATATTTCAGACAAATATAAACCATCTGAATGTTTTTAAAAGAATTGCTGCTATTATGCTAGATCCAAAACACTAAACAGCATTTCCTTGGATCAATTATCACAGGATTAAAATGGAATTTGATTCAGCAAAATTTCCCTTAAAATTTTTCAATTATAAAATTTTTTGAAATATCAACTATATCATGGAATGCAGCATTATTACTATATATTATTCATGACTAGTGTAAATAATTATGTTTTTACAAATTACTTCTGTCATCAATATTAAAAACCCTGAATCATGTGAGATCTCAGGTCTTACTTTTTGGAAGTGCAATCTCCACTTATCCTCCCTTCAACCCCATGTGCTTTATTTTTCAGCTAAGGGGTGGTATGTCTAACACTTGAAATGGTATTTTTGTCTGGCATCTTTATAGAATGTATATAAGGCAGACCTGGAGTGGTTGCGTGGCATCGGTTGGATGCCAGAAGGCTCAGTGGAAATGAACAGAGTGAAGGTTGCTCAAGACCTCCTGAATGAAAGACTCTATAGGACACGTCCAGAAGCTTTGTCATTCACCAGCATTGTCGACACTCCAGAAGTTGTCCTGGCAAAAGCCAATTCTCTGCAAATAAGTGAGGTAAGAACCATCCTACTATCAAGATTTTCTGGTTCTGGATTCTTTTTTCCGATGTTACCACCCAAACTGAGCATGTAGACTAGACTTCTTCAAAGAATTTTAGTGAGAGGAGCAACTCTAAGAATGTCTTCACTAGTTCATGCCTGTAATCTCAGTACTTTGGGAGACTGAGGTGGGTGGATCACGAGGTCAGAAGATCGAGACCATCCTGGCCAACATGGTGAAACCTGTCTCTGCTAAAAATACAAAAATTAGCTGGGCATGGTGGCGCATGCCTATAATTGCAGCTAATTGAGAGGCTGAGGCAAGAGAATCACTTAAACCAGGAGTCAGAGGTTGCAGTGAGCCGAGATCGTGCCACTGCTCTCCAGCCTGCTGACATAGCAAGACTTTGTCTGAAAAAAAAAAAAAAAAAAAAGAATGTCTTCACTAGTGAAGATACATTGAAAATAAAACTCTGACAAAAACCAACATGGCTTTTCTTCTACCACACATACACACTTTGAAGCACTGCAATGAAAATGTCACTCCATCACAACTCAGGAACACAAATATTTGTTGACGTCGTATTAAATACTAAGACATGTACATAATGTGTCATGCTACATAATAAATAATATAACATTGTATCAGTCCAGATTCTCTAGAGAAACAGAACCAATAGGATATGTGTGTGTGCGCGCGCGTGTGTGTGCAAACACACACACACACACACAGAGAAAAAGATACATTTTAAGAAATTGGCTCATGAGATAGTACAGGCTGGTAAGTCCAAAGTCTGCAGGGTAGGCCAGCAGGCTGGAGACTGAGGGCTGTGTTGCAATTCAAGCCCAAAGGCCATCTGCTGGGGAGGTTCATCTTGTCTATCAAGGTCTTCAACTAATTAGATGCGGCTCACCCACAACTGATTTAAATGTTAACTTCATTTTAACGATACTATCACAGAAATACCTAAAATAATGTTAGACTAAATATCTGGGTACTGTGCCCTGGCCAAGTTGACACATAAAATTAACTATTACGAACATATGTAAAAGCATTTTTCCAGATTGAATAATGCTAAGGCTTAATGTTTCAGATATTGATTTCCTATTTCCTTTCTCTCCACAGAAACTGTATCAAGAAGCCTGGAATAAAGATAAAGCCAACATCAGCATTCCTTCTGATACTCCGGTGATGCTGCAGGCCCAAATCAATGCCTTGCAAATCAGCAATGTAAGTGGCATGAACATGAAGGGCAAAAGCCTTTATGGGTAATATCTGTCTGCTCATGGAGTGTGTTGTACCAGACAAATTACCTACCTTGGAATGTTTGTGGCTTTTGGTGCTAAACATTTTCTCTTGAGCTACCAGTCCAAATGCAATACGAATGGAATTTGTCTCTTTAAATGTGTGGTCAGATGCATGGCTGGGTGCCTAGGCTGCAGGAGTTGGAACACCTGAATCCCTTTGGTGCCCTCCTTCATTCTTAACAGTCTCTGTTGTCATGTTGGGTTTTTTAATTGATCCAGGACATTTTCATTTGACATTTCAAGGCCATAGGAAAGACAAAAGACCATTTTTAAATTACATCCAAACAGTAGGTGGTGTATGATATCTATGTCACAGCGCTTTAGCAGAAACTTCTGAAAAGTCAAAGGGCAAAATTGGGGGTAGAAAAATCTTATCAGATCTTCTCTGGTACCTTGATAAAGTTCTCTGGCTTTCCCATTGATCCTTAGGTTCCATGTACTTGCGGTGGGATATTTTCAAATGCATTCCATATTGTAATGGATGTAAATATTCAAACATTAATAGAGTTTGGTGTTTAGCTTTAAAATTTTAACCAGAAGTATCCTATACACCACAAAGGAAATAGCTGACAATTAAAAGAACCCAGAAATGAATGCATTTTTCTTATACTGACTATATTATGAATTATATTATGATAAATTTGAGTATATTTGCTTATTTTCCCGTTCGTGTAAACAAACCTGTATTTTCCCTCTATAGAAACTCTACCAAAAAGACTGGAACGAGGCCAAGCAGAAAGGCTACGACATAAGGGCAGATGCCATTGAAATCAAGCACGCCAAAGCCTCCAGAGAAATTGCCAGTGAGGTATGCTTCCTTCTGTTTCCTTGTAGTTTTTCTCCTTTACAAAACAAGCAGGAAGACTATTTTTCAAGAACTTTGTGTTTAAAAAAAAAATCTGTGCAAATAATTGCATCTCTTCTCATGCTAGGAGCTTTCTCTATTTGAAAATATTAAAGTGGAATGGAAAACATTAAAGTTAGCAAAGATTAGGTATATGTGTAAACTTACTTTGATGCTGTTACAAAGTAGAAATAAAACATTATGAAGAGTCTGTATGAAATTCTTGGGAAAATTCAGAACCCAATACAATGTCATTTTGTCCCTAAAATATTTCTAACATTCTCCACAAATATAAATCACAGATAATTATTTCACATAAGACTTAAGACTGATATCACATTTATATACAAGATTTTATACTGGAGGTTTATGTACAATACTCTTAGTAATCTTTTGAAGTTCATTTAATTCTAAGTTTAAAACTTACTAGTGGTCAAAATAATTATGCTACTGGCTGGGCATGGCGGCTCACGCCTGCAATCCCAGCACTTCATGAGGCTGAGGTGGGTGGATCACCTGAGGTCAGGAGTTCAAGACCAGCCTGGCCAACATGGTAAAACCCCATCTCTGCTTAAAAAAAAAAAAAAGGCTGGGTGTGGTGGCAGGAGCATGTAATCCCAGCTACTCGGGAGGCCGAGGCGAGATCGTTCCACTGCACTCCAGCCTGGGCAACAAGAGTGAAACTGCATCTCAAAAAAATAAAAATAAAATAGTTATGCTACCAAGTCCATCCTCCCCACAGCTCCAACCCTTTAAGCCACCTTATTTCCTTTATCTGAGTTCTCTGCTTTTTGTCTCATGTATCCAGTTGTTTCCTCCTCCTTATTCTTCATTTTTGCATAACCATAGCTGGTCCACATTATCACATTACCCCCTGCTTTATTCCCAGTTTTCTCTCTCTGTGTTCAAACTTGCCTATGTTATCCAACATAGGAAAGAAGCAAAAACCGTCTTATATTAGTCCTAAGACACTCATCAGACAAAAACTCTTGTCCACAGAACATTTGTTGTTATCTTCTGATTCAAGCCAACAGTCTTGCTTTCCATCCTTGAAACACACGTCTTTCTTACCTGTTTCCAAAACCACACACATATGACCTCTCCCCACCTAAAGTTTCTTCAGTACTTTTAGGAGATCATTTGACCTAATGTTGCACTGTCAGGGAACCTTGGTGATGGAGATTATCATGTGCCTTGTTTTCCCCATCTGGAATATATGTTAATAACAGTATCTACTTCCTAGACACATGGTGAGGATTAACTGTGATTGTAATTGCCACTAGTCAATGATTTTTGACCGAAAAACATGGTAGTTTCATATGGATCTACCCAACACATGTGAAGTGGTCATAATAGTGTCTGGCATAGAGTAATTACTTAGTAAATGTTAGCTATTGTTTTTATTACTCTTGTTCACCATACCATCTCCCTCCTGATTTACTCATGTCCTCTCTGAAACTACCTAAAATAGTATTACCTAACTTCTTTAAAGTGAACTGAAATATATAATGACTGCCAGTGTTGAGCCAATTTATACTAAGGCTAAGAAATCATTCTGAAACCATTTAAAGAAGCCTCTCTTAATACATTATTTCCATATGTATTTTTTATTTGACTTCTTACAACTTTAGTACAAATACAAAGAAGGTTATCGTAAGCAACTGGGCCACCACGTGGGTTTCCGCACCCTACAAGATGACCCCAAGTTGGTGTGGTCTATACATGCTGCCAAGATCCAGAGTGACAGAGAATATAAGAAAGCTTATGAGAAGTCTAAAGGAATTCACAACACACCGTTGGACATGATGTCAATTGTTCAAGCCAAGAAATGCCAGGTCCTAGTTAGCGACATTGATTATCGCAATTATCTGCACCAGTGGACATGTCTGCCAGATCAGAATGATGTGATCCAGGCCAGGAAAGCCTATGACCTGCAGAGCGATGTGAGTATATTGTCATTAGAGCCAGGGAGATGTGTATTTGTGTGTTTAATTCCAGTGCATTCCCCAGAGGCATAATCTAAATGGTAATCTTAATAGAATCTATCATTCTGTACAATTCATGGTAGCAGAGTTTTCCCCAAACATTTTCTATCTTATAGAGGACTCCTTATGGTAGCAAGACCTTATTCACCAAGATGAAAATCAGTCTCTGATTCTATGTAATTAGGTAGAAAATTTCAGTTGCAGCTGCTCTGAGCCATTACCTTTGCAAGATCAGTTGCATATTTCAGAAGTAGATGTAAGTATAAGGAAATGTTGGATTTCATGTTTACTTGACACAGAACAAAAAAGAGAGAGATGGGGGCAGGGTGGATATAGATATAGGTATGTATGTTTTTTTCTCATTATGCATATATCTAAGGCTTTGTTCCTCCTAAAATCCTACTAATGTTATTCCCAATGGTATATAAAAGGCAGACTTCAAGTGGTGAGTGTAGAAACTAATCCAAGTATACAAAGTTAGGTGCCATTGCGGGCTGCCATTTCACCAAGTGTCACTTGTGAGTGAGCCCTGTTCCAATTCCTGCAGGATACTCTGAACTTCTCTCATGTGTGCCAAAGAGATAACACCCAATATTAACATTTAGTGTTGATCCTTGAGTTTAATGAGATTAGCCACCTAATTGATTTAAATAGTGGTGACGTATGGTTTGCAAGCATCCAAGTCTTATGGGCAACTGTGAATCTTCCCTACTCTGTTTCTCTCCTTCATGTAGAACTTGTACAAATCAGACCTGGAATGGATGAAGGGTATCGGATGGTTGCCAGAGGGTTCTGTGGAAGTGATGAGAGTGAAGAATGCCCAGAATCTCTTGAATGAAAGGCTGTATCGTATAAAGCCGGAGGCCCTCAAATTCACCAGCATTGTTGACACCCCGGAAGTAATCCAGGCAAAGATCAATGCTGTCCAGATTAGTGAGGTAAGCCAGGTGGATGATGTTTTCAGACAAATTGACACAAATTGACTCCTCAGTCAAGAAGAATTATAAATCTGAACTTTAGACCCTTCATGTCAGCGTCAAGATCTGAAACACGCATGTATCTAGATAGATCTCTGTGTAGTGAGTCTGTCAGCAGCCTCTGTATTTCATTTGCTTTGGTAAGTCTTTGGTGAATGCACATGTGGTGAGCATCTTCATGTTCTGCACACCCTGATATACACTTTGATCACATTTAGAGAGCCAGACCATAATACAGGCCCACCACTTAGTACTATAATCATAAAATTGCTACTTTTTTATTGCTTGAAATAGGTTGAGAAGTCTAGGAACAACCCCAATATTAGACATTATGGCAGTTATTTGTACCAAAAAAAGCTAGATCCTGCTTAGCAATGGGGATTATCAAAGCTATCTGCAATGTGTACTTACCCGTCAGATAATTAGATGTAAATGAAAGGATAATTTTATTACCGTATTTCTGACTCATTTTAAATTTATATTGTATCACACATGAATGTGTTCTTACTGAAGTCACTATTGGCACCTTTTAAATAAAAGTGCAAATGAGGCCAGGTGCAGTGGTTATACCAGTAATCCTAGCACTTTGGGAGGCCAAGGCAGGAGGATCACTTGAGCCCTGGAGTTTGTGACCAGCCTGGGCAACATAGTGAGACCCATCTCTGTTTTTTTAAAAAATAATGCAAATGTAGACAATGTGATCTATGTTTATATCAGAGAATATCCAAAAAGAACTTTTCCTTTTATTTATTATTTAAATATAAAATTAGATTTACTTATTTAATCTTACTTAAATTTTTTAAATTTACTTATACTGTTGTTTCATCCGTTTATTCAAGTATGTTTCCTGACTTTATAATTTTGTTCATGTGGTAATCGACTTATTTACTAATCAATCATCCCATTATTTTTCGTTTTTACCAGCCATTGTATCGCGATGCCTGGGAGAAAGAGAAGGCGAATGTGAATGTACCAGCTGACACGCCCCTGATGCTGCAATCCAAAATCAATGCTCTGCAGATCAGCAATGTAAGACAGCACACATCATTTGCTTTTCAGAGTGCTCTCTGCCTAACCAGACCTTTTATTATATACCCCAAAGGGAGTTTGGCAAAAGGCGTTTCTTCCCATTTCTTTTATTTCTAGCTGTAAGCTAATGATAAGTAGCTGTGTGGGTCTGTGTCTGTCTATATAACGTACATCTCAATGTTTGTTGGAAGGAGAAATGGAATGATTTCACCAAAAACACAACGTAGAACTTACAGACATGTAGAGTAATATCTAGTTCTCATTTTTTAGTGGGCCATCCATCATTGCTTTTTCCTTTTAAAAGCCAAACAATATATATTTTTACTGGTTTTTACATGATTTATTATCTCCTAAGTTTCCTACTTCAAAAAATAATTTTTGGGAGAGAGCTTTACTAAATGTCATTAAAAATCTACTGAAATTCAAGCTCAATATGAAACCAGACTATTTTATAAATCTTAAGGAGAGATTAATGTTCAGTGTAACTGTTAATACCTGTTTTTAAACTCATCAGTAATGCTGACTCGGTAGCTCCCTCTTCAGATTGACTGTGGTATTGCACTCTCTGTTTGCAGAAACACTACCAGCAAGCTTGGGAAGATGTCAAGATGACTGGTTACGACCTGCGAGCAGATGCCATTGGGATCCAGCACGCCAAGGCTTCCAGGGATATTGCCAGTGATGTAAGAGCTCCTCCTTGTCTAACCAGAACAAACACTACCTAGTAGACACAGAGGGAGTTTAACTTAATGCCCTGTGAATTATATTTAAATACAATTGGGTCATTGTTACTAGTATATTTTAAAATCCTAAATTCAAGAACAACTCTTACAGTTTGAGAATCCTTTTGCATCTATGTTTGGTTCTACAACTCTTATGTTGAAGCACAGATTTTGATTTTCTTTTCAATATCTTCACAATGTCACTTGATTTACACATACTAAAAGGATTTAATTTCACAGTACAAAGAATTCTGTTGTTACTCAAAGTGTGGCCTGCATACTACTGGTGGTTCCTGTAATCATTTTATGTAGTATGTGCACAAGTATTTTTTTAAATAGTTATATGGTTGTTTTAATGTGTACTAGAAAAATACTTTTTTTCTCCAATTAGATAGGGTTATACATTTTTAAGTAAAATTTTAAAATAAGCTTATAATTAAAAATTATTTCAGGCTGGGTGTGGTGGCTCATGCCTGTAATCCCAGCACTTTGGGAGGCCAAGGTGGGTGGATCACTTGAGGTCAGGAATTCAAGGTCAGCCTGGCCAACATGGTGAAACCCTGTCAGCAT